CGCCGTTCGGGATGAAGGGAAGGTTGCGGGACTCGCGTTTGGGGCAGCTTGGGAGCTTGCTCCGGAGGTCGCCCCGATTGAAAGTCAAAGACATATCTTGCTTCTCATCTCCAAATGGTTTGGGAAAAGGCGCCAGTATGATCAGCATGTTTGCAGGATCAAGGTGGTGTGTTGGAAGTGTCACGGTGGATCAGGAGGCCGAGCAAAAAAAGAATACATGAACTCGAAATGACATTAACTAATGACCTTTAGTGGATGTCCTTTAGTGGACCTTTAGTGAATTCATGTGGATTCCGCATTGTCGAAAGTAGACACCGTTCCCAGTTGTAAGTTGTTAGACGATGTTAGACGCCAAAACATCCAAGGGATGAAGGCAACAAGTCACGTTTGACACAGGAATGCAACAATTGATCAAACACTTCCGACGAATTGGGCCACTGAACAGCCAGTATACAAGCCAGGGGTGGTTCATAATATTGGTTTCAATGGGGAGAGATTCTGATTATTGGCAAGTGGGCACTGGGCTGCCTGAAGGGACTTCCTTGGACATATAGGTGGACATATAGGACATACCAAGTTGAAAGCATGCACCGGTGCCGAGAGATTGGTGTGACTTCGCTGGTTGCCAGGAGTTTGTGAAAGAACTTTCAAGTGATCTTTTGCACTGGAAGTGCAGGGAGCTTCATGAGAAGGACCAGGCGCTGTCCAAAGGGCCGGGGTGGCTGCCTGGAATTTTGGAAAGAAGGCATATACCTTGGGGTTCAAAACGATGAGCTGATGCACTCGGAGAAGAGGTACCCGCAATTCCTAGCTTGTGCTGTGCTGGTTGCTTTTTGTTTGGCTTTTTGATTTCCTTTTGAATTAATGCAGACTCTTGATTCATTTTGAAGCATCTGAAGAGGTTTCACCATCCAAACGGAAGCTTTCTTTTATAAGCATGGGTCTGCGGTCTATGCAGTAGCAGCTGCCTGGACGGAACCACCGCGGCTGAAGCCTCGTTCGGAACCAACGCGACTGCTGCCATCGGCGGAAGAAGATCCCAGTTGGGGAAGAGGGAAGTTCAGGAAGAGATGGTCTGTCCTATTGCCTGTAACAGTCAGTAAGCAATTGGCAATGATATATCATCAATTTTCACGATGCTGGAACAAGGCCTTTACTAACCATGGTCATCAATACTGGGACAGACCAAACGATATGTTAAAGAACTCACCAACGTGGCTTGAAGAGAAGCTTGGGATCACTCCCGTCACTGATGGCAGGACCAAAGATCCCAAGATCTACTGTATGTTAAATGGTCTATATATGTCTACCTGGCACCCATTTGACCTCTGTTTTGATAGGAAAAGACCATATTTGGGGTTATTGGTGGTCCAAAATAGAGGTCACAAACAGGTTCCAGGTCTATGTCTCTACCAGCCAATTGACTGGTCGACTGCTTGGTGCAGTTCGCCCGACTAGGAGATGTGGCGCTTCTACAATGCTTTCGCCCAAAGGCCCCGCGCATGGAGCGCGGCCGTTCTCCAGCAGGTTAAGATATGTTAAGACGCTCCATGCGTCCCAGGCCTCCAAAGGAGTTGGACTGTTCGGTAACAATGATTGTTTGAGGCAGCGCATCCCCGTAGGGATCGAGTCGTACCTTCTCAGAAGGTACTTGGACCCTCCAAACCTACAGAACAGTGTCTCCAATCACATTCTGAGAAGGTACTTGGATCTGATGGTCCATGAACCAACAAGAACCTGTGTGGTTACACACCATCCATATATGAACAGTTGCCAACCCCCGCAGATATGGATTGGTAGAGTCGAGTTTCTATCCTACCAGTTTTTGGATGTTCTACCGCTTTTTTGTGGGCTCAACAGTTCAATGTGACAGTTCTCACAATGAATCCTCCGGATTTTGCCCGTCCATGAACATCTTTCCAGGCTGCAAGTGCACATATCGCCCAGCAGGAGCCGGCTGCGTCACTTCTAAGCTGGGTCGCCGGGGCAGGTGCATTCAACACCAACATACACCAACCCCTCTCCCCACGATGTAGATAGATGGGGACTCGGACTAGGGCTGAAGAAACAAGCCCTGCCATTTTGATGGCGGCCAAATCACATTTTTGTACTTTCATGGACTTTTATGGGAGGACTCCTTCCAGTGCATTCCAGTGGTTTCTTTCCAGTCGACTCCTTTTGTGTTCTAGTTTGGGATGTGAACTCTCGGTTGGTTGCCTGGTTCTGTGGAGATGTTACCGTGCACAATTTCCTGGAGTAGCAGCAGCATGTACCACCTTTATCGTCCTTGTCCTTGTGCCTGTCCTTGTGTTTGTGTCCACTCTCCATGTGATGTGGTTTGGGGTTTTCAAACGGATCCCATCAAAATTTCAACCGGACGTTTTAGTCCAGCCACAAACTTGGGGTTCCATGTTAGCAACATTCTGGGGTGATTATTGAGTAGGGTAGGGCTCCATGGGACTTGGAGCTTTTCTACGTCCTTTCACCATCTTTCACCTTCACTTTGTACCAGGTCTACGTACACCAAAAGCCCAAGGGAAAAGGCTGTAGACCTTTTCTTTCCGGAGGAGCTTGGAGAGCTTCTGGAAGCGTTATCAACTGGGCGCGTCGGTCACCACTGCGAATCTGTACGGCTTGAGCCCCTTAATGCTTGCAACTGGGCTGAACTGGAAGGATAGCCCAGACACTCCATGGGACTGGTTTATTGACCCACATTGGGGTGGGCCATTTTCGGGGTCGATGCAGGCTATGACAGACATCGATCGTGTTTAGGTCGTGTATTTGGTGTGTTCTTTGATGTGCGGGAATGGGAGGGTTGGGAGGATGAGTGTGCTGGAAGTGCTTGAGGCAGAAGAGTCTGAAGAGTTGAGAACACATGCATCAACATGCTCTATGTTGGAGTTCCAAGGTCCTCGGATCTACTGTCCTGCAGAAAGCCCTACATCATTATGCAGTTTGATTGAAGAACCGTTAGTAAGTGAGTATACTAAACTCTATACTTGTTCATTCCAGAACACATGAGGTCATTTAGCCATTCCTTTGTTTCTCTACGTCGTTTTGCCTCCCGATCGCGTTTTCCGGCTGCGGCGAAGCCGCCCGGCCAGGCGTGTGTGGAAGGAAACCTGTCGGAGGTTCAGCTCCTCCTGGAAGCCAAGGCAGATCGGAGTCGACCCAGCTGGCTGGGGCCAACGGGGTGGACACCGACAAAGTCGGCGATCAGTCGGCTGAAGACTCAGAAGCTGGTTTGGAGTGAAAACTATAAGAGCCGCTTTTTGCATTGGCACAGATATAGATCTTCATAGTATAGATGTTCATCCAACGGGTCTGCTATTGTGTTCATACCTGAAATGCATGTTCATGTCTCTATGTCTCCGACAAAGGAAAAGGTTCTTCAGAAGGTCTACAAAAGCTCGGTGGTGCGAGCAGCAGCCGGCAGACTAGGAAGAACCAGGGCAGATGGACTACTTTTGCTACATATGAGGCCCTGCAGAGGTGGTAATCATTAGATTATGATGGATCATTCATGGCATCATGTTGCTTTCACATTGAAATTTAGTGGGTGCAATTTGCTAATTCCCCGCGCCATCGCCAATAAATGAAAAGACTATACCGTAAAATCAATAGTGACAACATGTATAACAACTAAATAACACTTGGGACGTGCTCGACTCGCCAAGAGGTGGCTCTATCACTCGCCGGAAACGACCGCAGCGAAACGCAACGCAGCGACACCCAACGACACCCAACGACACCGCGGCGTGGCACGCAACGACACCGGGCTGGCCATGGGGCTTAGAGGTTTCGTGGAAGCCTGAATAGCTTGACCTCACAGAATGGACCGAATCTGGAGACTGATCGTCACGACTCACCGTCCGATGGTCGCGGCAGGCCGAGGTCAATGAGTCCCGGCACACGGCATCGCGGCAAAGTCAGGAGGGTCGGATGAACAGAGCGAGAACGCTACTAGGAACAAGTGCCTTACTAGTAGTAACAAGAAGCTATTAGAAACAATAAGCTACTAGGACAAGTAAAGAAAAACACCACAAGATGGTAGAGGACAAAACGAACGTAACAAAGGGCGTCGCTGTTTTCACGGAGCGATCGGACGCTACGTTCGGGGCTCCTGGCCTTACGTACTATAGTAACAAGAAGCTATTTCAATCAATTAGAATTAGAATTATGGTGGATTCTTCAAGAAACTGATCTTTTTTTGCTGTCCTGATGCATCGATCCAAGAGAGTTCTGACTTTGAGGTTCAAAAAACTGAGACATCAGTCCGTCACTGGGGACTTCCGTCCAAAACGAACTGGTGAACTTGGACACAGAGAGGGCTTGGCCATCCGCCAGCAAAAGACGGCCAGCTCGGTGGGACATGTGTTTCTTCCTTTAACTCTCACAGGTTCGCTTGGCTTTGGAAGACACACGGACCATGGAACACTGGCCACTGGCTTGGCTTTGTCGCGAACACACCAAGTCATTCCAGGATCTGAGAACTCCTCGAAGCTTTCTTGTTCAGTGGTATGCTACAGTTAGAGCAATGATACACAGTGCACATCGGATCCACTCCTCTTCAGATGAAGGTGGAAAACACACCTCCAACATGCACTATAGATATATATATATATATAACTACTATCCCAGACACTCCATGCATGGTTTATGTACCAACATTGGGGTTGTAGGCATATATGACAGACATGGAGTATTTGGGTATAGTATTGACCAACCAGAACCTTTTTGTGACCTCTATGAAACTCTATATGTGACATAGACCACCAAAATATGTATTTGTTCCTTCCGACCAACACAGAGGTCATGTGTGGGCAACTAGTATGGACCAAGCGCGCAAATGTCCAGCGTTTGTAGTTTGTTGATATTTGGCTTTGTTTCGTGTCTGAAGCTGATGTTCCAACCTTCGAACGCCGGCGCCTTCCAGAGCCGGTTTCTTCGGCTCCGTCGCGCGAAACGGCCGCGGCGAAACGGCGCAGAGACGACAGGTCATGGGGTCTGAGACCACCGCCTTGTGCGTGGCCACGATGTCCTCTCCACCGGTGGTGCGGTCCCTGTTGGACGCCAAGGCGGACACACAGGCGGCGACGGACACGGACGGAATCGGACGACGGGAGGGATGGATCTCTGTTCTGAGCCGTTCGGTTGTTGCTGTTTCTTTGGACAAACAGCATGGGCAAGCAGCAAAGAAAAAGCATGTGTTTTTTTTCCTTGGATTCCACGGGAAATGCGCAAGCGTTCCCTGTTGAAGGCGTCCAAATTTCCTATCATCAATGATCATGCTCCAGTCTCGCACGGTCCATAGTTGTGTTTTTTATTTTGGATGGCTTTGTTTACAAAAGGTAAAACCAGTGCAGTGAACCTGAACCTGGGCTGTGCATCTGATTTCTTCAGAGGGATTCAGTTGAACAAAGGTACCCTGACGATTCCATCAAGGCCTTCCATCTTGGGGGCCGGCTACTGTCACTAGGGCTTGGAGTATACCAGCATGACAAAGAAGGGTTCATTTCAATCCATGGATGCACCCCATGCCATAGAGCTATCCAAACCGAAAGAGCACATGATTGACCGTTGGACCCTCCAAGACGCTTCACGTAGCTCGCTTCGCTTCGTCCGCGGATCACGCGAACTTCCGCCGAACTTCCGCTCGGTCACGGGCACATCAGGTGGGTCATCCGATGAGCTGGGCGGTGCAGCCCCTTGTCTCCTACGACGTGTCTCCTGTGTCCACAACAGGACCCACGGGACTGACTGGTGCACTGGGCTCCAGTCGTACCTAACTTGGTTTAAGGTGATGGCGGTCGGTGCCAGGGGGGTCCAACCATCTTCTGAAACACGACCCATGGTCTATATATTTGCATAAATATATACTGTACCGACTGTACCTCATTTTACCTACATTGACCCCGGAAAAGAACAGATTAAGGAGACAACCACCCCAATTGTATAAGGTTTACAGAATTTTAAATGCCGATTGACATCCCAGTGATTGTGTGGGGTTGAGTCAACTTACAATGCTCACAATTGGGTATTGACCCCTTTTCGCGCTTCGCTCAAATGGTGTTGTTGAAATTGAATTAGCCTCAAAAAACCGATCTTTGATGACTGTCAGCTTTTACTACGTGAGAGCCTTGTGTGTTTGGTCATTATGTTTAGGGCATTTCCAGTTCCAGCCGGTATTTTTGAGGAAGGCCTTTACGAACCATCATCATCCACTGTTACTGGCAATGGGTTACACCTTGGGTAATACCTTGGGTTTGTCCCATTACCAGTATATAACAGTTGGTAAGCAATTATATATATATATATCACTCATTATAGAGAAAGGCCTTCACTAAACATCATCATCCACTGTTGGGGTAATAGGACATACCCAAGTTACACCCAAATTATAGTGATTAATTACCTCTGAGGGATGTGATACGCCTGCATCTTTGGACCGCGGAAAAACAAAAAAAAACGTGATGGTTCTTGCGCTATGAGGCCGCCAATCCCAGGTATATAGTTTCTCACGCTCAATCCAGATCACGCCCAATCTCAGGTATTTGAACCTCGAGATTTTGTCGCTGCTACCGGAAGAGCTTCACCGGGAGAAGAGCGGTAGCGGTGGGGTGCCCGAGCGACGGGACGGAGGGGCTCGGACGGAGACTACAAGCCATGCCTAAAGGGGGGTCTTCTTGATCCACGACCGATGTCTGTCATAGCCTGCATTGACCCCGAAAATGGCCCACCCCAATGTTGGTAAATACACCAGTCCCATGGAGTGGTTTGGGTATGGAAGTGGATTATCGGATGTCGACCTGTGATGGGATCAAAGTGGTGTGCTTTCCACTGTGGGGTCTGTCGCTTTTGGCGTTTACGCTGAGAGGCGAGGCCGCTTGCTTAGGCCGGAGGTGGAGAGGGAGCATAGTTCAATCTATTTTTTGGTTTGAAGGTTTGAACCGCTTGACATGACTGACTGACTTGGTGCAACATGATTTCAACGATTTCATGGGCTCTAAAAGCTTCACCGGAAATCGTCTTCTGCCCCATGTTCTTCTGCCCCATGTTCGACGGTTTCGTAGGCAGACCCCCGCTGCAGACCCGCGCTGTTCCACCCTCGGAAACGATTCGGCACCGGACGCGGGGCATTTACGGCTGCGAACAAAACGAATCCAGACGGTGAGCAAGCGCTATAGAAAATACATGTCCAACCAAGGTTTCAGGGTTTGCAATTTTTCGCTGTTAAAGGTGCCCTCCACTTAACTATTTTGTGTTTTTGAGCTGCTTGGCCAAATGCACGTCTTTATCCCATGTCTCAAACCCAAGAACCCAGTATGCCAGCTACACAACCCGAAGACGAAGCCAGCCGTTTCCGAGTTTTTTTCTCTTGTTGCGATCTGTGTCTCATTCAATGGATCAAAGCCGGAGCGTGGTTCTCAGGTGATTCTCCGATCAATTTGGCCGTCCAGGCACAGTGCACTAGTCCCTGCGGTGGAAATTGAAGGACTTGGATCGTTGCTGGGAGGATTCTGGATCGATGATCATTCCTGAGCTGAAGCTGAGATCCATCTTGGTGAGGGTCAGGGGGCATCCAAACTGGTTCGATCCTGCACATGTGCGAGTTTCTCACTTCGAAACATGTCGATATACCCTCCGGCAAGCCCCCCACGTGTCGTGTGGGCTTCGGGCGTCAGATTGGAAACCATGAAACGCTCCGTTTTCCAGGACAAAAGCTGAGTGGATGGGGCAGACCCATGCAAAATCGTCCAAGGATTTTTGCATGTTGTGCTGTACTTTGACTGACTTACTGTAGGACCCTCCATTTTGGCCGCTCGGAGGTTCAAACCCCCGCAGTTCAAGTATGTGACTGTGCCCGGCCCATTTGAAAGGCTTCACAAACGTCACTGAACATACATCTCAAAACCCCAAAAAAACTAAACCTGACGTCAATTCCAAGCACTTCTACGAGATGTCGACGTGTTAGAGCCGGGACTTGTTGGGCCGCCTCGGGCTCCCGGGACCATCACCCAAGGCACTGTGGATGTCTTGCTGCAGATGGGTGCTGACCCGACCGCCTTGGCCACCACCAGCCGGTCCGGGGCAAACGGGAACGGGTCGGTTCGGGCGGTTCGGGGCGTGTGGCAGTCGGTGATCTGAACGTTCGGATCCTACTGGGGTACCCAACTTGGATAGTCTAGTTCGGGTTCTTCAACCTCTGTAATTGGAGCTGGGTTGAGCTGGGGCTGGTCTAGCTCTTGTGGCGGTGTTTTGTTGAGCTAGGTGTTTGAGCCAGTCCGGGGTCTAGAGGTTTGTCAGACAGCAAAATGCAACAAAGGCATTTTGGACTCTGGAAAGTCGGCACCTCTTGAGCTGCTTTTAGCCATGATGGGCCTTCATTCTCCTTTCCATGACATGAAACATACTTCAACACCCCCAAAAAAACATAAAAACTTCAACTCCCAGCATGTTTATGAATAAAACACCTCAACTTCAACACTAAAAACAAAAAGAAACGCATCAACACCCAGACCCAGTGGCGCCTCGCATCGTCGGCGCACGCAATTCTCCCGTCGTCGAGGTGTTCGGTGCAATTCTCGAGGCCTCGCAGCAGCTCGGCGTTTGGTGATGGTTTTTCTCCCACGGTCTGCCTCCGAGTTTGTTTCGGTCTGGATGGGGGGGGCCTCCAAATTGGTGTTGGGTAAATTTCTAAGACTTCATGGGGCAGGCATATACTGAGTAGACTGGCATACACTAATTTGCATGCGGTGGTTGTTTTTCAGGAGTCTTTGGGCCATGTGCCAGAGTCCCAGAATCCTTCTTTTCATTCCCAAGTCGCCATGAACTGGGCATCGGTCGGCTGGTCGCTTTCGGGTTCGCAGGGGAGGGGGGTTTTCTTCGGAAAGTGCCAGCTTGGCACTCTGCTGCGCTCCGAGATGGGCCTCCTCAGAATCCTTGGACGCCCCCGAACAGTCCCGGGGTCGTCCGGAGCCGAGGCGCCAGGACCTCGTCCCGGTCGCCCTCTGACACTGAGGAAAGCGCAAATCGCAGGTCAGCTCCAACGTGAGCAACGCGGAGTCCTGCCAGACTCGACGGTGACATGGTGATCGTTTGATTTGCTAGAGTTCTGGTGGGTGGAATTTGAGGTGAACCAGTGAAGAACATCTGAACACTGGGGTTTGTCATTTGTCCTTATGCTAAGGACATTTAAAAGACTCGTTTGATCTCTTTTGTAGGGTTCCAACTGAGGCGCTTAGCTGGAGATTAGCTGGGGGGGGTTCACTCTTTGAGGATGTGGTTGGATCCCAAAGAATCGGCTACTACCATGCTTTGGAGTCTGGAGTCCTGTGGTTTGATATATTGACCTAATACAACATGGATTTTTCCGCGCTGGCCCCCGGGTGGGTGGAGAGGACACCCAGTGGAATGACTCGGACTGAAGACGAGTCCGCAGGGTGATCCAGATCTAGGACAACCACTTGTTGGTTAGCACCTGGTCATCTCAGTGAGGTAATCCCAGAAACCAAATATACCAAAACCATCTAAAACCTCTTCAATCCACCCGTGAACTGGGTGTTTCAACGTATGAATGATTGTATGAATGCTTTTGTTGGATCTTGACCTTGGCCTTGAAACCAAGGTCCTTGAACGAAAAGCGCCGCAGCATGTGGCACGATGAGAAGATCGCAAGGTGGGGTTTGTGAACATTCCAGGGCTGAAGTGACCACTCCAAGGGAACGGAAAAAGCTCAGCCGGAGACCTCGAAAATTCTTGAAAAACAAACAATCCCATACACTCCATGGGACTGCCACATATGCCTACATTGGGGTGGGCCATGGGGGGCCAATGGGGCGGCATATATGGCAGTCCCATGGAGCGTCTGGGAATGGTTCCTCAGCCGGGTTCTTTGCTGGCCCGTCCGGTCCGTCGTTCGGGATTTCTGACGGATCCAGAAATTGCGCAGGTCTACGGATGGGACACTCTCCAAGAAAAGGTAGATCATTTGACCTTTGTTGGTGGATTTGGGTGAGACAAAATTTTGAGGTGTGAACTCCTCCCATGGACTCATGCCTCGTACAAGAGCACTCATGAAGCGGATGTCATTCAGTTGCTTCTCCATTCCTGGTCCTGTTGTGTTCTCCAACTATATATTATAGGTGATTCTTATTTGCTTCTGCTGGGGACCCCAACGAAGGAACCAGGAATCACCCATGTGCACTCCCTTATGATGATACGTATGATAAGGGGCACCTCTTGGTCAACAAGGCCTTTGCCTCGGATCTGTGTTTTTGGACGCAGGTCACTGGAAGCAGCATCGGAGGCCTCCAACATGCCACAGGTGGGGCGCCCTTCCCGCCGTCATGGAATGGCCCAAATACCATCTACATGACTGGTGGGTTTTGGGTGTTTTCATGTATAGTCATACTTGCGCACTATGGATTTATTTGGGATTGCTGAACCCCTTTCTCGTGTTCCTCATCATTGCGGATGTAAAAGCATTGTGGAGACGGGGGGGAGATTTGACGAATCAACCGGCAACATTGATTGGCTTGGAGATTATGCACTGAACTATGACAATGGTGCAGTGACAGGATCAGGGCATTTGACTGGATCAGATAATCAGATCTTTTTGATTTAGGACATCAGGACTTCTAAGTTTGGCTTGAACATGGCTCATGAGGTTGTTTCGCATCAATCTCGAATCGTAAGGATCCACATACATAACCTTCTCAGGTTCGGTACATCAGCGACCGCTTCCACAAGAGTGTCGAAGACATGACCCTCGATAGGAGGTGATTTGGATCCATAGCCCACTCGATCCATGGTGGCGTAATTACCACCAAAAACCACCAGTCATGTAGGGGATATTTGCGCCACCACGGATCGTTTGGTGTGGGGAAATTCTTATGTTGTCCCTTCTCCCCCACGATAGGGGTCCTTTTCCAGCAATCCCAAACAATCATCGCAAACATTCCATGCATGGAATATATCATGTAAATACTGACCTGAAATAATCCCAATCGTTTTTGCGGCATACATGGAGTGTTTTGCTTCAACTTGCCTTCCACTTGGGCGGTGGGTGACCACGAAGATCAAGAAATGTGAATGTGTGTGTGTGTGTGTGTTCGATTGGCAACCACTCCAGCAGCCGCTTGTCCTAGAAGAAGCTGATGACAAGAATCATTTTGAAGATGATGCTGATCATTCTAAGTAATTATTTATGGATCAATGGGAGGGGGAGGGATTTATGAATTTATAGATTGACTATATATTTATTGGTTGGTTGATGGACGGATTGCTTTGCTGGCCTTCGGTGTGCACGTGCAATCACCTGAAGGAGTTTTTCTTAAAAGTGTTCTCTTTGGGAAGCTGAGAAACAGGATGTTACATGATTTTGCAGCTTGATCCTGACATGTCACGAAAGGTAGCTTGAGCTGCCTGAGTTCTCCTTGCTTTAGCCAAAATTTATTACAATCAGGAGTTGGGATTGTGCATTGAATTTGGTCCTGTAAGAGTTGATTCTGTTCGTCGGGGGCACCCCCCGGATCAAATCCCCCCTGCGCCGGTTCACGCCGTCGTCATGGATTTTTACCAGGGTTGCTTGTGATTGCCTGCTACCTTTCGTTCACCCCCTCCTCTCTCAAGTTTGCTGCACAGTGGGCGGGCAGCGAATGTTTTGGGACGTGGAGACCTGACCCTCGTATACCCTCGTAGCATCAGTCGCATGCACTGGAACTGCTGGCAAGGGAAGATCCTGATGCTTTGGATCCCATCCTCACTTCAGGTAGTTGGAGCCCTGTGGTATGTACACTCCCTGACATCATCATGGCTTTTCCAAATACCAAACAGTTGGTCAACTCCACTTCCATGATTTGTTCAGGGAGTGCAAGAACTGGAGAAGGTATACGTACATTGGTCCGACCGGCGGCACTTTCAGGTCGAGCCAGTAAATGTTGTCTCCAAGAAGAGGGAGGAGTCTGCTCACCCTATACCTTTGACCCTTCTTGATTTTCCAGGGACACCTGACAGATATTCACGGATATCTCCACGGCCGACCTGCGACCGCCTTTCCACCAGGCGCGCTGGTGGCGGCGCGCCAACCGCACCTCGCGATCCACCACGGGATCGACGGAGGAATCGGCTGCCGGCGGGTCGCGGGCTTGACGGAATCGGACGGTGGATTGGATCGTGGAAAAAGGGGCTGGTTGGATTGGTTGGGTGTGTCCCAGTAGACTTGTAACAGTCGATGAACCTGTAACAGTCGATAAACCTGTAACAGTCGATAAATGAAACCATGACCAAAGGTTTGTTATCCGAAAAAAACAAAAAAATCGAGGAATCTGAACAAGGGTTCCAGGCTTTTCACCCACAACCAAATGAGCAGAGGTGACAAACATTGACAAACCATGCGAATCTTAAGACAGTCATGAAGCCAGAAAATCATAAAGAAAGACAAAGAAAGGGTTCAATATAGTTTACTTCGAGCTATCCCCACTCACTTGCCCAGGTACACTGGGTCGGGGGTGACTAGCGAGGCATGCGTGCGTGCCTGGGCCATGGTGTGTTCTGGCTACTTGGCCATTGTGTGTTGGTTGCTTGCCACTGGTGTGTCGTGTTTCCATCAGATTTTTTGAGTTCTGTTTACTTACCCAGACCATCCACGGGACCGGACTGCCGCCCCAGAAAGACTGGCGCCCCTGGCCTGATCGGTATATACATGTCAGTCCCATGGTCTGGTGACCATGGTGACTATGGTAACCATGTTTCTTGGGAAAAAAACGGGGCCACCTCATGGGATCCACTGTCCACCTGGTGGGATCCCCAGCTGCGAGCGAGCTGCGAGCAACCTGCGGGAAGTAGTGGCCGTGTATTGGAATAGGGAGACACCCAACCAATGGGTGGACAGGTCATTTTTTCCTTTTGCTAGGGGGTCGTTCTGGGAGGCCTCTCTTTTTTGATACACTGACACACACAAATACACGTGTGTGTGTGTGTGTGTGTGTGTCACACTCTGTTTCTATAAGAGTTTCCCACCGATCACGCAGGGGGACGGGACTCCACTTGCACCGCCCGTCCAACGAAGAGGGTGCCAGTCGGTGCTGATGCAGTGGAGGACGCTCCACTTTGTACCTGCGAGTTGACAACACTCCACTCTTCGCCGCTGTTTTTTGTTGCCATGGTTGTTCTCATGATAGATACCAAAACAGTTTCCTTCACGCTAATTCGATCGGCTACGTATTCAGTAACTAGAGTCCGCAGTCACGCAAACCTTTTTCTTAAACACCTTCACTTCCACCGACCCAGCCGCCTTTCCGTTTGCGTCCGTTTTTTATGGATTATGGTTAACTGCAAACCCTGTGACTAAGTGTGGTGTGTGTGTGTTTTGTCAGTGTCACTTTTGGCTGTTTGTTGTCTTGTTTGTGATTGAACTGAGCAGTGTCAGGCATGGGCTGATGCCCTGCAGCGGCCGAGGTCAGGATAGGGTATATAGATAGTCTAGGTTGTCTCCGTTGTAGTTGTGTTTGGTGCTGCCGTTGTTTGTCTCTCAGAGCTTGTTGTTTGTTGTCTTTGGCATCGGGCGTTGTCAAATGTTATGTTGGTGGTGACAGCAGGGTCGGGCCACTGGCGGGGCACTGGCGCGACAGGGCCAGTGGCGAAGCACTGGTGTTTGGCCATAAGCAGGACCACTTAGGCTTAGTCGGGGGACTGCTGGGATCTTTAGTGCTTATATCTTTGGTGTGGTCATCTTGTGTTAATTGTTGTGTTGTTTGTCATTGGACTGGCTAGGCACTTGCCGATGTCCTGCAGCCGCAGAGCTCACAATAGCGTGGATGGTATATCGGTCTAGGATCTACATAGCTACCTCAATCCTGTCGGGCGGAGACGAATCTGAAGTTTTCGGTCACATCAAAGATTAAGACATGCTGACTCCTGTCAGCATGCTTCAATCAACACCCGTGCACCCTCCGCTCGATCCGTGGTTGTGATGCAGAGATGTGTGTGTGTGTGCACACATGTATATGTGTTGTTTTGTTCCACGGGTCTCCAAACGAAGCACCCATCGACTGGAGGGTGCTTTGAAGAGCCTCTTTCCTCCTATCATGGTGCTTCGGGGTCATGTCTACAACCTGCGGGGTCCTATTCGCAAAACTCCCCTTCCTCCATTGCAGGAAGACAGCACTTCATTGAGATCTTGGGCTGACAGAAATGGCACTGGCGGCCACTTGCAGACGACAGTGATGAACATTCATGAGTCGCCATTGTTTCATTATCGTCCAACATCTCATTGCCATTTGCAAGATGAAATAAGTAATGTTCCAAGGAGAACACGACATTCCCCCAGCAAGCCAGGGGTTTGAAAACAACAAATTGAGTCATGTCATTTTGAAGGTTTCCTCTTGGCCACCCGGGGCTATAAAGTACTTTGTCTTCCATGGATAGTTTTTGAATGAAATTGAGACCTTAGTGCATGAACGTATATCAACGTAGATGAATAAACCATCGATCGGATAGGCAAGACACCTGCGATGCTTGTCCGTTCACGTGGATGATTTGTGCCAACAACTTTGTATCCACTGGGTTTAAGCAAAACACTGTAAAGGATCGACCGTATCAATTATTTACAGAACCCCGGTCAGTTGACCAAACAAACTATTTTCTTCCCACCGCCCCAGATGTCATACCACTTGCCCTCACTACTTGCAGTAACCAATGAGGACACGTGCTGTCCAAACAACTTTGAGGATAACTGCGTTTTGAAGAATATGCTTGTTCAGTGTGTTCCTTTAATGGATACTGACATGTGAGCCAGTATACTGATTTGGCAACCATACCAATCTTGGCAGCACAGTCATGACCACTGCGTCATATCTTGCAGAGTTGATGGTGTGCAAGATGTCTCCACCTTATTTACTTGATCGTGAGTCAATATCACTGCCACGGTGAAAGGACTTGAGTTGACGGTGAAAGGACTAAGTTCTGCGTTTTTTTCGTCCACGCCTCGGCTTTCTCCACTTTTGCTCCATTCGACCGAAAAAGGTCACCGGAAGGTAGGCCGACTGACCAGCTAGGTCGACGCATGGCTCCAAAGTACCCTCCACCTTCGGGTTCCGACGTCCGAAGAGAAGGTCTCCAACCGGACGGCGAGACGTCGAGCGCGTTCGAGGTGTACGTTTCGACTTGAACCTCAAGAAGGCCCCGGTCTCCAACGTGATTTTTCGTTCGTGTGTGGTGAGGGACTGGTGGGGAGGGACAGAGGATTCGATTTGTTTGATTGGATCCAGGGACGCTAAAACTGCAGAGTTCCTCAAATCACAATGATATAAATGACAACATCCGATCCCTGTCTTGTCGTGTTGACATTCCACTGAAAAGGGTGATGAGTGGTTTCAATCCTTTGTCAAGCGAAGCCTCTCCTTGAACTCAAACCCAGCGAAGCGAAGCTCCGCAAGACTGGAGATTCGGAGCAAGTCGGAACTCGCCGGGCCAGAACCATAAACAAATATAATGCGCAGAGTCCGCCCGGTTTTGGGGTGTCTCATTCTGGCTCCTTAGAGGTTTTTCGGGGTATCTAGGATACCACCTTCAAAAAGCCCTGGAACACGTCTTTAATTTGTTACTGGCATTTAACTGATTTTCGGATCATCATCCCTAAGAGATCCAGTCCAACACCTCCGAAACAAAGGTACAACTGGAGCCCGTACGGCGTAAGTACTTATTCCTTTGCTTCATCACACTCCTCTCTCCGACGCCTTTTCGTTGGTTCCAGGCGGAGGAGGATAGCATCGCCACCTCCCCGACGAACTCCGCGTGGTCCTTCTACTCGGAGCCTGGGCTGGATGAGGATGAAGAGAGAGGTTCACTCCCTGAGGCTCCAAAACATAAGCTGACAGGATTTAAGGATCCAAAACAGGGATGAAAAACAGGATTCTCAACTTAAGTCTCCCTGGGGCTCCTCAAAACAGGATCCAAACAGGATTTCGCATTTCAATCCTGTTTGAGGAGGCTTTAACAGCTATACCCAAAGACCATAGCTCATAAGACGATTCACCTTTCGTCGAAAGTTAGGAGCTCCCCACGAAAAGTGGATCACCTGCAGGTCACCGTTCTGGTTTTCGGTGGATGATGGATGGGTCTTCCCACTGAGTGGTAGAACAGGTGGAATCATAGAAACAATTCAATATATGATAATGTTCCACTCAGTGGACCTCAAGAAACGATCACGTTTCCTCGCTTTCCTTTGTCGGGACGCTTCCGCTTCGGCACCGTTTCGGGCCCGGCCAGGCGTCCGACGGTCGGCGAGGGACGTTGGGCGTCCGACGTGCGGTGGACGCGCAGTGCTAGAAGGTCTGAGGATCCGCACGACATGACATACCTGGCATATCCTGGCATTGGAGCAAGCTCCGGGCGACCATCTTCCTCTCTGAGTTGATTTGCTAGATACCCTAGGGCCCTTGGGATCCAAGTACCTTCTCAGAAGGTGATTGGAGACACTCTTATGCAGGTTTTGAGGGTCCAAGTACCTTCTGAGAAGGTACGACATGGTACGACTGGATCCCGTCTTCTTTCGTTCAGGGTGAGACACCCCAAAAAGGCCAACGTCGATTCCACCAGCGGGCTCCTGTCTCATGAGTGGAGATTCGTGGGCGATTTCCAGAGCAAATCTGCGGCGCAAAAACCCATAGCAATCAGCAAAATCCACCAATTAAGTCGGCCTTTTGGTTCAGAAGTTCACAACCTTAAGAAAAAGGAACCACTCATTTATATGTAAGACCAAAATCAAAATTCAACAAACTCCTGAATCCTGAAGCAGTTCCTTTCTTTCAGGGCCACTGAAGCAGATTGCTCCGTTCCGGTTTCGCCGTGTCTTCCATCGAAAGAACACAAACTTCACAGCAGCAGATCGCTCGTTCTTTCTTCCGCGAACATCGAACGCGTGATCAGGATGCGAAGGGCGAGTTTGAGATTATTCAGGCACCGAAGCGTGTCGAATGAAGCGGGTGCCGCCACCGGTACCGTCCCAAACGCATACGCCCGCGCTCCGGGTATGTATTCCGGTGTACATACGGGGTCGACAGTGGGGGGTCGACCGATTAGGTCGAAAATTGGTAGGAAGTGCGTGGGTAGGGTATTTTGGGGTCGCTCATTGGGGCGCAGACATGGGAAGCTTCTGATGTCTATGCCCAAAGATATGCCCATGCTCTTCCGATGCTCTTCTGTCCTGTCGGGTCATGTTGGATTTGTCTTGATTCATGTGCTCCAAAACCAAAGTGTAACGGCTCATACTTATCCCGTATCCCTAAGGATCTACATACATACCTTCTCAGAATGTACTTGGACCCTCCTGGCGCCTACATAAAAGTGCCTCCAATCACCCTGTCAGTCGGTATGTGGATCCATAGGGTATGCTCATATCATATCGCTAGACATCTTGAAGCCTTTGCTGGTGCTGGGACCATGATGGACCGCTTTTCCTTTGTTGTGCAGGCGGGATTGTTCATGCTAAGCTGCGAACAATTGGCAATCAGAAGCAAAACCAGCTCACGTTATCCAATTTCTGCATGGTTGATGCTTGCAAATATATTGTTTACTTGTCTCATTAAACCTCTAAGTGGGAAGACGATGATTAGTTCGAATGACTTTGGGGTGGGCAAGCCCCCACGATGATGATTTTGAGAGTTCCCACGAAGAGGACGACCTTTCGAGGATTCGCCTTCCGCGCGACCCTCGCACCAGGTGACCCTCGCAAGCCCTTTGGAGATTGCATGCTACGCGGGGAATTTGGAGATTCTTTGCACCAAATGGTGAGCCAGTTGGGATGGGACAAAGGCATTTTCCGTGAGCTGGGTTGAGCTTATGGAGGATGGTTCTGCGTGGAGCATAGCTGTGTTTTCCTGAAAGAGATGCGTTGTTTGCAAGGGTTTCACAAGATGAGAAGGTACCATACATATTCGAGTCATGTGTTGCAGCGTAGCATTCACCTTGACTTGTACAACGAGAGCACCTCAGAAAGCTCAGTGCTTTTGTCAAGGTGGGCAGACCTTCAGAGTATTCTAAAGTTTTCTAAAGCAAGCCGCCCAGAGGATCCATGGTGAAATGGCGGCGTTTACATAGTGACCGACCCACATGCAATGACCTACATGCACCACCTAAAGCAACTTCAAATGTAGGCGATATTTGCTCACCATGGATCGTCTGGGAGGGACAACTCTCATTATATACATGTTGCATCATTTTGCTGGGTCTTCCTAGCCCAGCAAGTCCAGCCACTTATATGGGTGGGTCAAAACCGGCGTTGACCGTGGTCGTTTGATGTCGTTTGACCTAGTCTATTCTGTTCTTCCCGACGCGTCGATGCGGTCACGACTGGTTTACATGGCATTCTGCCACGCACCCAAACACATGTGAGAGGTCCACATGAGGAAACTAATTACGACTCCGCACTGCCAAGCGTGAACTCCCAAGCAGCTAGCTTCGCTGTCGACACACCAGACAAAATCCGAGCAAAGCGGACCTTCTCTTCCCTGCAGAAAAGAACCTCTGCACCATCGATGGTGCCATTTGGTAGCGACTTACCGATGCTCTTGTTGCGGTGTCTGTTGTGAACACCTGGAAGAACTTTATCCGAGAGGGATCTCGCGTGTGCAACAAATTGCCGTATTTCACCTGTCAAGTCACGAAAAGTATGTTGATCAGGATCATGTTCAGGCAAACGAAAACCCTTCAAATAGAATAACACCGCAAGCTCAACATAGGAAGTAACTGCATCATGATGAACTTTCCACTGAAGACGATCAAAAAATTCTCCTAACACTCGCCAGCTCGGAGCTCGTTCAGCCCACTTCTCATGCAATGGAAGTGAAAGCAAGGACTCTTCCGCTCTCCAAGCAAACTCACCAGGATTGGGGTCCCATTCCCAGTGAGGAAAGAGGGAGAAAACGTTCTCGGAATCCGCTTCAGCTTCCATTCTCGCCTCATTTTTGGCATCCTGATCATGCTTCTGCAGTATTGCCACTTGGATGTTAAGATTCGTGAGCCAATCCTGGCGCTGCACTATGGATTTCTTGACCAGAGTTTCGTCATGAGGATGGATACTTGTTGCCTCCAAAGCATGTGCCTTGGCGAACCTATCCGCAAACCGATTGCCCATGATGTGGCGAACCTCCGTTCCATGGGAGTGAGCCATGGAGTACGTGATATGCTCCTCAGGTAGATATCCAAACAAGTGTGAGGGGACCCAAACCTAGTCTATTCTGTTCATGTTGAGGTGGGCAACTAGGGTACCCCCCCCGGTTTTGACCCTTTTTCGGGTGGACGGTGCACCTCTGGCACTCCATGAACCTGTCTTCTCATCGCAGCTGGTTTGCGAACTGGTGGCCTTCCAACTAGAGACGATCCAAAGGAGATAAGTACCAGCACCAAGGCGAAAGGGTTGTTATTGAAATAAATACATCGTCAGGGCATGTGAGGTATTGCTAGTCTTTTCTTTTCAGCACCTATATAGGACCTAAGAAGTGTTTTTTCATCGGCCAAGTACTAAGTGTTTCTGAGCCATTTAGTAGGAGTAGAGCGATCGAACTTGTTATGTATATATGGATTTCCCGTACTGAGATTCTTGGATTTCCTGTGAAATTCATTTGTTTCACGAATTTCACTTGGGCAAAGCCCGCAAGCCCCTACCCCAGGATGGTGCAATTGCTCTTCCATGCTGGGGCGGATCCGGAGGCCGAATCCGGAATCGAGCCTCAACACTGGGGCGGCATTGAGTGATCCACTGATGTAAGGAAAATGAAGGAAACTTTGGAATAGACCATCTGTATATCCAGTCCAGAGAAGATCAGATATTGAAGAACTATATACTGACTGTGTTCAGCAACGAGAGGAAGACCAGGGTGAGATGTTCTTTTTCCAGGGTGGTTTGCTATAGTATGTAGTTCAATAGATTGTTGGGAGGCGGGAGGGCATATGCATCGGGTGGAAGCAACCAATGGAGCAGACCATCATGGCTTCCAACGGACCGATCGTTGCTGGACCGGAACTGCCAGGCATCCCCTCTTCATCCGTTTGGCTCCCTGTAGCGATTGGTTCGAAAGCACAAGAGCAGTTGAGCGGTAGCGTTTGTGACTGAGATGGACGCCCAGCGTGCTTCGCTCGGTCCCAGAGCAGTGCCAGGTCATCCCAGGTTGCTCGTGGTTTGAAGAAAACCCCTGGACCCCTATAGTGGGGCTCCTGGCCTACCTCCGTCCACGTGGTGAAGAGCCCTAGGGTTGCTTCGCCTTGGGATCCGATCCACGTGGTTCCACGTGGAAGGAGCGAACGTGGAACGTGGGTGACCCTCCAACGGTGACTCATTTCGAGTGCAAAACCCTGTTTGGTGTGTGGAACATGGAGAAACAGTGTAGTTTTGTCCAGGTGCCAGGTGCCGTCCACTTCCATGTGAGAGGAACACTGAGAGTAACCATATTTTCCAGGCCGTTAGGGCTCCGTATCCCCAGGGAGTTGGTGGGGGACGACGATCAGACCAGGTGAACGAGCTCGTCGGTGGCCGAATGAGAGGTCTACTTCCTCGGTGAAAAAGCAAGGTGGAGGTGGAGATCTCCTTTTGGGCGGTGTTTGGGCAGTTTCAATGTCTTCGCAAAAAGTACTATGAATCTCAAGAAACTATAGATGCATACCAATGACCAAGGTCCTTGAAAGAATTATAGTTTCGTGGAGGGAACGCCACCTGTTGAACTGTGCGGAGAAAGAATTGATCCTTCCGGGGCCATCCACCTTGGCCCATCGACCCCTGAGCGGCTTTTATTGATTGATAGCCCCTTAGATGTCAGGTGTCCATGTCTACCACCCAACTCCAGTGGGTCCTGGATGATTTCAGGAAGTCTATCCCAGGGAATCCAGTATATAGCTGGTAACCAGTGGTTCCAATTCGACTAAAACCATAGACCGAACGAACTTATACAGTGGATTGCTTGGGATGCACTGGGTAGATTTTTGTGTTGGAGCGACGTGCAGGATGGCAGCGATGGCTACAGTGCTGTGGACGTGGCGGAGGCGACGTGGCGACGGGCGTGGCAGGGCTTGACGTGGCAGGACCCGTCTCGATTCTTTGGTCGAATTCTTGGTGCATGGGTGCACGTGTGCAACAACTTGTGCGGGAGAACAAGAGAGAAGAGTCCAGCGGCCAGCCAGTTCTCTTTGTTTGCAAGGTGTTTGGAGATATATTTTTGACATAACCGCGGAAGCTGGAAGTTTTCTCGAATGAGTGCATTTCTTTTCCACCGCCCCAACAAAAACACAGAGTTTTCTGAGATTTCACGAGCATCTCTCTCCCGCCGTCATGCGTGAGGCCTGTGGGCACCATCACATCATGCGTTTCCTCTCCATGGCAATGCCTTTGCAACTGGACGCGGAAAAGAACTGCCCGGTTGAGAGGTTGAGAGACCTGAACTGGGACCCTGTAGTACCTATGGGAGAGGCGTTAAGGTCTGTTCCACCTCTCTCGGTGTCGCTCCTCACAATAGGGGCCCTGCTCCGACCCGACTCCGCAGGAGCGCTCTCCGGAGCGCGGAGTCGAGCGGAGTCGAGCGAGGGCGGAGGGTGGCCTGGGATGCGCGATGAGATTGAGATTTTGTGGCACCGCTGGGGTTCACCACATGTGGAATTCCGGGTTTTTTTAAGAACACTGACACTGGAGTTCTGGAGTTCTGGCAAAACGGAACATGGCATGCCCACGTGCAGTTGCATCGATTTGTGGTGCTTCTACAGGTTGAAGATGCTGGGAGTAGTTGACTCTTGTATACTCTGAGGATCCAACATGAAGTGTCTCCCGCTCCAAGGTCCTTTCGAAGGTGGTGATGGGTGCCAGGGTGTACCTGAGGATATGGGGGAGCCCTAGAGTCTCTAGAGTGTGTTTGTTTTGCTCGTCCCCAGACAGCGCAACGCGCTTGCCGCAGCTGCGTGTGTTGTTTTTCCAGACAGCTTGGCGGCTATCCTGCATTGGAAGTACCCAAATTGCCGTGAGGCCTGGGTCCATGGTGGGTCGAAAAACTCCAGAGTTCTGACAACTAAACCTGGGGCCCAGCAGTCACATGTCGGGGTGCGATCCATGGAGGTTAGGGGTGCCCAGCTACTCCACTCACTTAAGGACTAAACACCACCCCTTTGTGACTCCTGGGGCGAGTTTTGTAGTTAGACCCTTCGATGCTTGACCGTCTTTGCCCTCTTCGGCACCCAGACGGCTTTAAAGTCGCGCCGCCCGCCGCACCTGGCGCCGTCTCTCCCGTCGTGACCGAGGAGTTACGTGACCCTTTGAACCGGTGAACCGTTTGGTGCCCAAGGGGCGTGGCTGGGCATCCACTGGGTGCCAGTGGTGGACATGCTGGGGTGTGGCCGTTTCTGTTTCGACATGGAAGACATGTGATCTTGGACCCTTCCTCCTCAAGAATGCAAGTGGAAAAGCCTCACTATTTGCAGCTTGGATTGTGGTTTTCGGAGCCAGATTTGTTAGTGATGCTTCTTGTTTGACCATGTTTGGCCCTACCCCGGCAGTGAGACCCCCTTGACTCCAACCATTCTCGAGCCAGATTCAGTAAAATCATGTAAAATCATTAAAACACAGCTTGGAGTCCCGGTGGTCTCGCGCGTGAACTTCGCTGTCCCTTTTTCCCCTCCCAGTCGCGCAGATGAAACATCCCTGGCACTATCTGCCGCTCGAACTGTTTGGCACTGCCCATTTTTGGTCCCTCACATCACCTAGTAACAAGGGCATCACTACTAGCAACAAGGGCGTCGCTAGTAGTAGCAAGGACGCTACTAGTAACACGGGCATTATGGCATTACTACTAGGGGCAAGAAGCTACTGGTAGCTCCTGGCATTACTATCATACTCATATTTTCGTGGGATCTGAGGGCGTTTCGTTGTTTTCACGCGTTTCAACACGCGAAAGAGGCGCCGCACGCGCGCGGAGCAGGAGCAGGATTTCAAGAATCAGCTCGCCGTCGGCAGTGGACCGCCATAACCAGAGCTCATCACCTGAACCCGAGTCGAAAACCAGGATCAACCAAGATTGAAAGGACCTAGCCAGCCCTTCCATATGGGTGTGTATTGAAGTAGGGCCATCTTCTGAAGACCCTTTGGAATATGTAAGGAAAATAGTCTGAAAACCTTCTAGGGGTTCCCCCAAGTCGAAGATGAGCGCAACTCAAGAGTTCGGAAACACAAATCATTTGGAAATCGTTTCGATGTTGATCCCAGTCCGTGCCCACGATGCACTCAAGAAAATGTGTGACTCCTGGTCCGGGTCCGGATTCTTTTTCCTTCAAGACGGAATGGTGGACCCTATTGCCGATGCACTCCAGTGGCACGCGCACGTTGAAGTCCGTCCAGGATTTCGTTTGACCTCGTGGCACGAGTCGCTCGTGGCCCGGCGGCTTGGGGTGCAGGACACTCCATCCCTATAGGAATCCGTTGTCGTGCCGAACCTCAGGTTCGACACTGGTCCCGACCAAATCGTACCTGCCTATATACGTAAACAGTGTCGAAGAGATCACCGTACCTGAGAAGGTATGACTGGATGCCGAACGGGCGTGTATGGCAGAAAGCCATGAAACGGAGGTACACCTGCCTGGAACCCCAAACAACCAGAAAGAAATGGATGTTTCCCCAAACAACCATTTCCTATGTAAAGGATTTTAATTGCCATATTGGAACAACCATTTGTTTCTAGTTGTTTGGGGTTCCAGGTGGACCTTCTCGGATAGGTCCCATGTGAGCCCGACCCCTCCACTTTGCTACCGGCATTTGTAGCCGGTAGGACCACACGACCAAATGACAAGCCCGTTTGGGCTCCAGTTGGAGCTTCGTTTCGAAGGTGAGGTGGGTAGGAGGGTCCAATACCTTCGAAGGTATGACTGGTGGACTGGAGCCCGTTTGGGAAAATCATCTGTGTCCATGGAGTTCTCCTGAGCCCGGAAGAGCAGGAGCCGTGTCCATGTTCCACTCGGGAGCGAAGCAGACCGAACTTGGAGTCAAAGGGTGGAAGTCGAAGTCCAAGAAAGGTAGCCAGTAGCCAGTGACCTGAACGGACCCGGAACTACCTGGGGTACCCAACTGGGATAGTCTAGTTCGGGTTCTTCAACCTTTGGTGGACCTCGAAAGATGGTGACTTTGCCAATTCCACATGAAAAGACCAGCCCTGGAGCCCAGAGCATCGAGCCGCAGTCCGGTGACACAGCGCGGTCGCAACACAGCGCGGCACCGGCGGTGTTCGGATCGATGCGGTGCTGGCGGTGCTTTCGAGGAAGAACATGCACTCTACCAGGACCGACACCAGTCGAGGTGTCTATAAAGAGCCTCGGTCATTCGCTGATGACCGGGGTGTCCTTCCAACCACCGGACGAACGGTTTCGGTCCTAGGGGGGTTTGGTGGGGTGAGACGGTCACTGCGGACCTAAAGTGCTTTTGGTGAAGATCAGGTTTGATTGCTTCATGTTTTCTTCGTTTGATCAGTTGAGAGACTTGACCGTGGCACTACCTTCATTGAACCTTCATTGAGGTGATGTACATAAGAAATAAAAACTATTCCAATTCCACGGCGTTTTTCAGTCATGTGTTGGGGAGTGTCTACGTTCCAGATCACCCCTTTCGAGCCCGAACACCATCGCGAGTCGCTGCACGAGCTGGCGTGGAGTTCGCCCCATGTGCACGATGGCGGATCGAACGCGTGCGCATGTGGTGAGCCAGTGACACAACCCGCTGCCTTTGGCAGAGTGAACGAGCTGAGGACGGAGTCCGTTGATCCAGCGTGAGAATCTGTGTACTGTGGAGTGTATCAGTTGGAACAAAGATGCAATGTCACTCCGTAGTTTTCAGGAATGCCAAGTTCATCAAGTTTTGTCCTGGAAATTGTAAGCACGACGACATACAATGACTATTCAATAAGTATATTTGAATAAAATTTACCTGGTGCCTGGTGCAGTGCAATAAATTTCCTCCAGTTGCCACAAGTAAGTTGCTTGGTTTTGCGTCCGTCCTGCGTCCACTCACGTCAAGTTAAATATGTCATGATCAATGCAATATTTGTTTGTTGTATAGAACTGTGTGGCTTCAGAACTTGCTGTTCGCTGCCACGAAAGCGACCACAGCACTGACTATTTTTTTAAAGCTGAAGTTGAAGTGGCAACCAAACGACCCATGAAGTATTCTTCGTGAAGGGTTCCAAACAGTCAAGTGCTTGGTGGAGCTCCCACCTGTCAAGCGCTTGGTGGACGCCGTGGCATACCACGCCTTCCCCTTAAAAGAAGGTGGTGCGTACGTGGTCCTTGCAATCGTCGCAGACAGGTTGCAGCGTCTAAGAAGTTGGACTTCCAGGTCGTTCACATCAGTTTTGTCAGGGAGGAAGGCGATCCCAGAACTGGGCATGCCCTACTCATTCCCCTGAGCTTGTAGTGATCCTGGAGTGATTTCCAAGATGGCGTACGGCGTACGGCGCAAAGGCGCTCCGCTTCACATCCAAAAGCCCACGAAAGCAGCACCAGACATAGTGAACGGGGGCCTCATAGCAATCCCATTTGGACCCCATGGGATTGACATATTATTGACTTGTTTACACATGTTTACACATTTACATACGTAAACATCGACCCTGTTTCCATTGCCCAATGTAGGTTATGGGGCCCCATATGCCATACATGGAGTGTTTTGGAATAGATAGGCCACATCCCCCAGAAGAGCTTGCCGCTTCACGAAGTGGCTGTTGTTCTTCAAGACAACGAGTGCGAAGAGGACAACGTTTTCGCAGCAAGGCCCTTACCCAAAGAGGAAACAAAGGATCTTGATGCAAAAGGAGCAACGGCATCACAGAATCGGTATACTCGATGTTTGACCTTCCATGTTTGACCTTCCTAGGTGACCTTGTTAGGACCAACTAACATTGGAGGCGACTAAGAGCAGTACGGGGAAGAACTGTATTCGATCTTCTTTCGAAGGAGTTCGACCATATTCCGAATACCAACCCAGTTCAGTGGTTTTGGGGTTCCATGTTGATCTGCAAGGGAGTACTCCAGGATATGGTTTAACTTTAAAGGCACTGGCAAAGCCTTGCCATGATGTCGCAAGTGCCTTGAAAGCGCGGAGTGAGAACGAACACCCTTCATCTTCGGGTGGGCTTCGCTTTTGGACCTGAAGGAGATCCACTAGAATCACTCGAAAGCAACAGAGATGCTCACTATGCCTCTGCCAGTGTAGGGGGATCTGGATATCAATGATGGAACAGCTCCACATGCAGACAATCGCGCTTGCTGAAAAGCAGAGTGGATGTATGGAGCATTTACCTGCCTACGAATCTAACACAGAACCTGACAAAGCACAGCAGAGGGACCGAATAACCTGTTGTGTGTTTTGTTTTTGTTCTGTTCGGGATGGGTTTCCCCACAAGACCAAAACAGGGTATCACTTGCATTCCATAGATTGTGTTTGCCCAATGTCAGGATATTTCAGTCAGCTCAGAGGGTGTTTTGGGTGAAGCTGTTGCCTCTCAGTCCTCACGAAGTCTCTAGATGTTCCGTTGCCATGGTTGCTTTGCGTGCGAAACTGCCTCGTCTTCGTGATGACGACTAGTGATGGAAGAGGGCACCCTTCAACGGAACGCCCTAAAAACAGCAGGTGGGACGCAAATCCACATCAAATAAGTACGGAAACGACCACCATTTGGATTTCCATCTGGATGGCTTTCTCGTATGGCGATGGGTCGTGACCCATGCAGCCAGGTAGGTCAGACACGACACCAGATAGGTTAACGGTCCTCGGTTATGGTGCCAGTCTCCCGCCGTATGGTCTTCCAGTCCATTTCTGCTGGTCCTTTCTTTGGGTGCGCGGGTGGGCTACTCAGTAGTATGACTCAGATGACTCATCAAATGTGTGTGTGTGTGTGATGTGTGTGTGTGCGCGTCGTGAGTTTTGAATGTGGAACTTAAGCCCTACCCACCGGTCTGCGAGAGACCCTGAAGGACGTTGATGCGATGGGACGCTAAGATGGGACGCTGAAGCGACGAAGATACCAGAACCAATGGCTGTCGATAGACCAGAACCAATAAGCCCTAGGGCTCCAACCGCCTCCTGAGGTTCGGTGGTTGGGGTGGGTGCCAGGGGGTTCTAACCACCTTCTGAGGATATGGTTGGAGCCCTAGGGAAGGTGAATTCGAGGCCGAAATGAATTCAATTCAAAGTGAGAGGGACTCTTCGTCGAGCATCCAAAGATGGAGGGTGTCAGAAGCCAGTTGCCAAGCGGATCCAGTCTAAGCTGTTTCCAGAAACAGCTTTCCTTGATGAACAAAAACATTTGAAATCTCAAGACGCACACTCCCTGGAACAATCATGGAAGTAGAACATGGCCCCATGTTGGATGACCATGAAATCCAAAGATGAAAGAGGGGGTTTTCACTTACTCCACTTCCACTTCCTGATTCTGTATTTTGGAATATACCATGCTTACTTAAAAGGACCCCACAAGCTGCAAGGAAGCTGCCAATTTTCAATTCAAAGCCGCTCGGATTCGTCCGGTCGTCCGAACCGAGTGGGGTGGAGCCCCCTCGGTCCAACGGCCTTTCTTCTTCGCCGCGGAGCAGTGATGTCACGGGGCGTTGAAAAGGGGCAGTCTGACCGGATGGGCACCCCTTTTGAGGACGGCAGGATTAGTATCCACGACTTTTCTATAGGGATGTCCAACGTGTTGTTTTTGTTGACCCGAACTGGGTTGAATCCCCAGACATCTGTGGGAAACGATGTTTTTAGCATGTTTTTATATGGCCTTTTTCCGGCTCCTGGAGCCGCCAATCCCAACGCACCTATGTGTGGCGAACCCACCGTGCCAGTCCGTTCCCGCGTCCCACGCATCGAACGACACGGAGGCATCGAACGAAGAGATCCCCCAACATGGTGGGACATGGTAAAGAAGCATAAGGAAGCTACTACTGGTATGGAAACACTTGATTGTCATACAAAAGGAAACACTTGATTGTCACACGAAACACTTGATTGTCATAGGCGGACAAGCGGACCAGGTTCTCGAGTTTTCGAGAGGGGAACTACATAAGAGTTGACCATGGTTTCGTGGCCCAGGTCATGCATTTTAAAGGCAGCTTGGAGTCTCTTGTCAAAGACTCCAGGAGTAAATTTATTCATGGTCCATTCGTTGGAATGTGTGCATACCATGTTTTGCCTCAAGCATATCATGTGATCCAGGCCTACCCGCAGAGGTGTTTTGGTGCGAGTCCAATATTTGACCATATGAACCTTGGGACATGGTCCAGGTGGAATTGAGTGGATGTCCAAAAAAGAAACCATGTTAGAGAGAGAGAGAGGGCAAACAGTGCCCAAACACTTCATTGGACTGGCAATACATGGAGTGTTTGGGGTGTAGAAGTGGGTGTAGATGAAACATGCTGAAACACCATATTTGCGTGGTATTCATTTAGGACATGTGGATGCGCTTTTATCGGCCAGGGATAGTGGGGCCAGCTAGGATGACTTCCCCCTGTACGGTACATCCGTACATCTTTGGGGTTTCCTCGTGTCACTGTGGCTGATCTCACAGGCCCGGTCGAGACTGGTCGGGAGACCATGACGAAGGGGGCGAGAGGACCTGAGGACTCGAACCCGGAGTTCATCATTCCACACCCATCTCTTAGGGGGGGTTCAGGGCCGTGATGGGCCGACATGAACACCAAATTCCTGTGGATGTGGTGTCTTGGGTGGTCATCTCCGCTTGCAGGAGCCGAGGGCCGGAGCTGAGGGCTGGAGCTGAGTGTTTCAAGTGCTAAGACATTGGCAGTTTTAGACCAGGGAAACACCCAGGAAGGGGGGGACCTTACGCAAGATTGCAAACCTCATCGTTTTGCTCACGCCGATAGAAACAGCTTGAAACAGCATCGAGAAGAACCGTTGATGCTGGGGCATTAGGTCCTACTCCTCAGAATTCCATTGCACAAGAGGCGCTTTGTGTCGCCAAACTTATTGCTGTCTTCCGGCTTCGCGATGCTTCACATTCGCTTTCAACGCAAAAGGGACGGAGAACCGAGGGCAATTTTCAGGGTCATGGTCATAGTTTGACTACCGAGGTTGGCACATTGTTTATGTTTGTTTGATTTCATTCCATGAAAGTAACAACTGTATACTCACCAGAAAGAAAGGACGGAAATGAACGTCCTGGACGTTTGGAATTCTTCGAGAGATTTCGAGAGAGATACGAAGATCATGTACGAATTTCCTGCTCCAGATCCGGCTAAGGAAGCCAATCTAGGTTTGGTGCTGGAAGTTTTCCGGCTTACTCATAGTGTGTTGACCACAAGAGACGATGTTGATCGATTTAGTCATATTTAGTCTATCTCACATTTGCTTGGTCTAGGAAATGGGTTGATGATTTTCTTGTTTTTGAGGTGAGTGATGTGTTACTTCCATGCAAGACATGCAGCCATGGGTACCGTTTTTACAGCTCAAGCTGCAGCAGCTTCGCAGCTTCGTAGAGTTTGAACATCAATTCGGCCGCAGGACATGTTTGGACGAGACTTGGGCGCATTAGACTTGAGTTGTACAGGGGACAAGGCTAAGACCTGTCGATCTTTGATATGATAGAGATGCCTTCCCCAGCGAACATGCTGAGCACCCTCTGTCTGATCGGTCATCAGCTGCATCAGCCGGGGTGCCATGATTGCCTACATGCTGTTTTTTGGTGCATGTTGGTCACCTGCGATGTGTCACATGTGTTGATCATTCTTGATCCAGAAGAGCTGAGCCATTCTGATCCCCGCTTGATGTCCAGCGTTCCGCATCCCAAGCAGCGCACCTCAACAAGCGCCGCATCGCATCTCAAGCAGCGCACCAAATCCCCTGGATGGAGGTAGATCCCCCTGGAGGGAGACGCCTTCTGGAGATTGAAATCAGTGTCCCAAATGAGTGTACAGTATAAGATGATGTAACACCGATGACTGAAAATAACAAGACTCGACCCGAACCCTTGAAGATTTAAACATGATCATTTGGTGATGTACCAAAATTGCAAGTCCTGGCTGGGCAAACATGTTTGTTGCCCACATCTCGAAATGATTCAATTAAAACCATCATTCCTATATATGGAGCTTCACCCATGAATCCCATGTCTCTTTTTAAGTCTTGTTGGCCGCTCCTCTTCGTCCGCGCGACCGGTCCCGTCGAACGAGGACTCTTTGGACGCAAGAAGGAGGCCGATGACACCCCCGCCTGTACCTCTTCGGGCATTGCCCGGAGCCCGAAGAAAGCGGTCGGTGAACAGCGATCGTGGTAGAGCCACGCTGTTCACCAACAAAATCCATGGGAGTCCGCAGCTTTCGTCGGGAGTCCGCAGCGAATCCGCCGGGATGGCTGATTCCCAAAAAACATGTTAGGTCTTTTTCCTAGCTAGAAGCTACCAGGTTGGAGGCCATCGGTAGTAGGCCATTACTACTTAGTACTATAGCTAGAAGCTACGAACAGGGCATCGCTTTTCCTCGGTCTAGAAACTCTGCGCTCGGTCTAGCTTGGTCCACACAGCTCCACAGTGGCATCGCTTTTCCGACTCCCAGGTGCACAAGGTGAATCTGCCGGATGGTCCGTCACAGATGTACTACGATGAGGACCGACACGGGAAGCAAACATCAGAACACAGACGGCGCGTGGGAGCGCAGACGCGACGGTGCAGACGCGACGGCGCAGACGCGACACCAGGAAACCTTGGAACCTTTGGCGCAAATGGTGGAAAAAGAACAGAGCTTGCCCTTGTAGCCTTGTAGCTCAATTGCCCATACCTGGTTGGTGATGTTTTATGATCCCTTTGGGTAAATCCCCTTCTGGCCCTTCCAAAGCAAGTTTTATTGTACCTGGTTCCTTAAGCAAGTCCAATTAAGCCTAGTATTGGCCTTGCAAACTCCAAAATCATGCCGAACTTCCAAAGTCAGAAGGGCCAGAAGATCTGTTTCTAGGTGTTTCGGGCCACGTCATTTGTTTTTTATCCTTGCACGTTTCATTTGAGTTTGAGATATTGGGCTGAACAAGTCTTAGGGTCCATCCCGGGGCTTCGTTGATCTTCGTTGCTTTCATTTTGGTTGACAGCCTTGACAGCCGCTGGGGTGTTTTCTCGATTCCAGCCTTGACAGCCCGGGTGGCTACTCATTGCTCACCTTTTCACCAGTTGGATGCGATGGATGTTTGCTTGTTTCTGACACACTGACACGATGGAGCACATACGTTTGTGGAGGAGAAGCAACGATGGCGAGAAAGGGGGAAGGAACACTTGGAGGAGGCTGGGCAGGGATGGTGTTGGAGGTGCACAAGTGTCCTTTCCCATCGTCAGAAACCTATATATAGTTCTTCTCAATAATTCTCAAATTCATCGGAACATGATACATGCTGTTATAGCTGTTCTTTTGCAAGATGAATCCCAAACACTCCATGTCTGTCATATATGCCTGCATTGACCCCTCAAACTACCCCAATGTTGGTAATTAAACCATACAAGGAGTGTCTGGTAATTTGCATCCATGACATGGCGGCCATTTCGTGGGGGTTCGGGTCCTCACCTCGGAATTCACCTGCCGTACCCTCGCTCGGAAGGCCGTTTCACGGTCCAAAGCGCGGCGGGTGTTACTGGTGCAGCTCGGGTCATCCCGAGCTCGATGCGCCCAAGCGGTTCGTCGGCTTGGGGGGTTCCTAGATGATCAAACCGGATCGATGACATGGTTCTTTGTGACACTGAGGACTATATGTACGACATATGACACTGAGTGTGTTCAAGAAAACCATGTTGCAAACCTGTCTTCGAGGCAGCTGAGACCTGTCATGAAGAAGATGAGAATGCATAGACTGGATTCATTATTAGTTTTGCCTGTTGCCTTGTTTGGTGTAATTGTGAAAAAAGATGTTTCAACCAGGCTGGAGCAACTCCAACAACCTTCCCGGAAGGTGTTCGACTTAAGGACCACCAGGAAGCAGGTGAAGCAGCATCATGCATGCAAAAGACAAAGGTCGCCTCCTTTGAGAGCCTCCTTTCCTTGCGCGCGCGAGACGTGCGTGCGCGCGACATGGCGCGCCCTCGGACGACAGACTTGGAGAGGGATCGATCAACTCCCAAAGATCATGAGTTGCAGTTGCTATCCCTATACAGGTTCAGGTTCGGTACGACTGGACATGATCCTGGCACCCACAGAACAGTGTCGAACACATCACCTTCTGAGAAGGTACTTGGATACCTATAGGGCCCTAGGGTATGTGTACCAGACCAAGCCATTTGACCCGTGTTTTGGGTGCACTTGGTGCTCCAAAATAGAGGTCACTCAGACTCAGGGTGGTTCGGGCGCCATAACACTGGCATCATAGGACTGCTTTGAACATGAGATTTCCTCCCTGGCGCCGGTACCTGTGAAACCGAGCGCAATACGTCAAATCTGAATCGTGCACTGACTGGGAAGTGGAGGGATTTTCCGAGGCAAAGAAAACCTTGTGAACTTTTAATTCCAGTCAAAGCATTGGAGCAGACACTAGAAGAAAGTCTCCAGCCAGGAAGAGGAGGACTACGGCGAACCTCCGGTGGATGGAGAGGAAGTCCCCGAGAAGAAGGAGCGACCGGAATGGCGTATGCGTATCGGAAGTATTGCGGACACCTTCGGAATCCGAGCGCGGAATCCACACAGAGAGCGAACCTGAGTGGCGCACGATTCATGTGCCAATGCCAGAAGCCCAAAAAGAGCGCGCCAGATGCGCCTGTGCGGGCCCTCATGATCCAGAGGAATTGGATGGGGGTCAGATTCAGGATTCGGGATAAGAAATACTGATGGCTTTGCAAGGAAGTTGCGGAGTAGGTGGTTGCTTCTGGAACGGTCCCTGATGGGTCGATTTGATGCGTGCTACAGGGTCAATGATTTTGAATCAAGCTATGAATCTCCATTAGTGACTGGTTTCGTGTTTTTTCATTCCCAACAAGCTGCTATTGCAGGGTGGGGTGCCCATTGTCCACTTGCATAGGGTCTAAAGACAATCGGTGTCATATGTCCAAAGAGTTTGATCCAGTAGTCAGTTTTAATTTATGAGTTATACTTCTTAATCACGTTTTGGGGTACAATCACAATCTGCTCAAATATGCCTGGATGATGCCTTATTTGTTGGAGCTTCGCAGGGCAGCCCGGTTGCTAAGCCAGCACAACCTCTTGCTCATCTAACCTAGGCCTCAGATTCGAAGGATTTCCACTGTCTCCCTATGGATCCACATACCGTTTGACAAGGCGAGTAGAGACACTTTCATACAGGCGCCATTGTCGGGTCCAGTCGTACCGAACCTGAGGTACGGTGGATCTGTGGATATTTCGAAGAATCGGACCTTCAAGCAACTGCCATGCTTGACCAGTGATTGGTCTATTTCGATGACCTGTTTCATCATGTTTCATCCATGATTGGTTGATTGATAGAGGGGATACCTCCCAAAGAGTACATCGGTAAATTAATGGTAGCAAGCTGACCCCTCTTTTCTTCCCCTTTGGTCGGACATAAGACCTTGTCGATTTTAAAACGAGGCCTGAATAAGAGGTCGGACGACTCCTTGTGTCGGTTTTCATGGTAGACCTCACATTTTGAGGTCTAGTTTGAATACCTGAGGTCCAATTGAATTAGTTGCAGGTCCTAACATTTCTCCGCGGCCGAGATCAAACTGAGGATCATTTGAATGCTCTGATGGCCGTTCCGACCTCCTTGTGGGGGGACCGAGTGGTGCCACTGGAGATCGAGGACCCAGTCGTCATGAAGCCCTTCGCAGCGAGGGCGGTTGCGACCTGGGCCAGTGGTGGGGTGCTGCACATTGGTGCTGCACACGCAGGTGTCAGGCAGGTTTACAGAGGGAGAGGACTGGATGCCATGGACTTGGCGGGGGTTGCTATAGAGGTGGTGATCCATTGGTGTTTCTCACTTGATTCCCTTGCAAAACTTCACTCTAGGAGTTGCACAATCTGGTTTCAACCTGTTTCTTCTGGACGACGCAGAGACAATTGGTTGAGTTGTACATGTAGAGCGGCCGTTTTTTCTACTATATAGAAGCTCTAAGGATGGATGATGATGACAAATGCTGGCAAATGTATACCGAGTCACAGGCGAGTTCGCACTTTTTGCCGTGGAGTTAGCATTTTTGCAATCTAAAGTGTACAGATAGTACAGACATGTACAGACTATCACCCCTGATGGCCTGAAAAACCTCTGCTGTTTTAGATTTCAAGCGTGGGACACGACGTGTGTTCGTGTGGGGTTGGTCTCCTCTTTGCTTACTCTTTGGTTGCCTTTGCGACCTGCACCCCTGATCTGCTTGCGGCGCAAGCACCTACCCCAATTAGCCAGACATTCACAAGCGCATCATCCCCGCGGTTTGTGAAACGTTCACCTTCCCAGGTTGTTCCTGTGACTGCCGAGGCAAAACTCTTATTATGAAAACAAGAGGAAGCAGCCTGCTTCAGTCTTTCGAAAGGCGTGGCTACTGGTCTTTTGGTGGAAGCATCAAAAGATGTTCATTTCAACTACCTGAAGGAGGACCACCAAGACATAGACCTAGTTTTGCTTAAGGTGAATGTGTGTTTTTCTCTATTGCTGAATCCCCTAAACCCTAAGCAAATCCGAGTAGAATGGATAATTCAACCCCTACTATGGGTCCAAAGATTCTTAGGGTACCAAGAACTCTTCAACTCGACTGTGAGACGCAGATTTTCCATGAACCCCTCGGGTCCTGCACACACACCAACGGTGGCATGACCCCACCGCTGGACATGGGCGCAAACAATGATATATGGTTGTCGATCTAAAGGTCCTAGTCAGCAGTGTGTATGACGATGACCCGGAACATATCAAAATCTCATTTGGCGAAAGTTTTTTCTCGAGTTGGCGAAAGTAATTTTTTTTTTGGCGAAAGATCTGGCGAAAGATTAAATATGTACTTTTGTATGAATGTTCATTTGCTTTCTGAACAGCTGGTGGCAGTGACTCAGAAGCTAGATGAGCTGTGGAAGTTAGATAACCTGCTGCTGCGACTACTACTACTACTACTACTACTACTACTACTACTACTACTACTACTAC